CAAGTATAATTCAATATTTCTATGTTTATTCCACTATAAACAAAGAAAGAAAAAAAGTCTCCAAAACCCAACAATTAAAAAAAGATACAAGACCACATGAAAACTTTTTCTCTGCATCTATTACAACTTTATATTCCCTAGTGGCATTGGTTCTAAAATTGGACACTCATGTGGAAAAGATGTGGATTTTACTGTATGACAGGTAACGCAAAATAAACCATTGGAAATTCCAGAAGAACAAAGACTAGTACATCCAAAATTTCAAGAAGCTTCTAGGGAATGGAAGTTTTCTTACTGAGGTAAAATATCTTTTCCAGTACAGGAAAAGCTGGCAGCTATTAGTAAGTCTTCCTGACTTTATTTCAATCTGCAAAGGCCTGTTACGCTGAGATAGATGTCTAGCCTTTAAAACTTCAAAATATAGCCATAGGGAATTTTCACATTAGAAAAATATCCAAAAGGGTGAACATGCGGTGTCCAGTCCCAAAGAATGCAATGAAATGCTGCAACTTGTCTTAGGGCTTGCATTACAGATTTTCTAGGTTTGTGTAAGAACATATGAATGTGCTGAGCAAGCAGGTAGTGTTTATAATCAGAGCAGGAGGGAAATTGCAACAAAATGCTTCCAAACCTATACCTTCACATCTGAAGAAAGCTAAAGAGAAGTGACAAGAACATGCTCTTCTCTAAAATAGATTAAATTGTAAGGTGCTGAAATTAGATTTTGATTGATCTTGATAAAGACCTAAATCCTTCTCCAAAATACTGTATTTTAAAATTAAGGTATTGTAACTGGGATTTTCACTTCCTTACCAGAAAGGGAAAAAAGACAAGCTCAAAGTAAAGATTTTTCCTACATTATACAGAGAGTGACTTTAAGAAGGGAAAAGGAAAAGTGCTATTTTTCCCTTTGTCAGGTATAAGACAATCTGGAAAAGATTTTCCATAGTACTGTACTTTTTCAGCTAAATGCAAGCATTTTCCTTCAATGTCTTATTTATTTATTTTAAAGAATTAGTAGCATTCTTACTTTGCAAGCTTATAAAGTAATTGAGCAACCCTTATGATAATGGCCAGAATTGAAATCTGGTTAATTTTAAAAGGTGCTGAAATTTTTAGTTTGCTTTTGTTCTTTGTAAGACCTCTTTTCAATGTATCAAATTTTCAACTAGAGATAAATGACATATGTATTACTAATATTCACCAGTCCTGTTCTTTACAAGTAGAAATCTCACCATTCACATTCATAAGACCTTTAACAAGCCTTAGATAGTAAACCACCTTATTTATCGCTAATATCTGTAAGATGAGTACAGCCAAAAGAGTAATTGTTCCCTTTTTCAAATCCTGTCAATAAAGTGGCTAGAAATTGTGCACATGTGTGTGTATGTATGTCCTCGCACTATTTCCAAATACAATGTTTTAGCATTATAAAGAGAGGCTGCCACTAAAATAGTGGAAAAGCTCAATCTTTTGAAAGGAAACTAGTCCTTTTTGGGTTGTTTCTGAGAGCTACACTCCAAATAGAGCGTATTAAGGAGGTTTTGTGCTAGATGGGGTTTAATTAGAGAAGATTATCCAGAATAGATTGTTTTTATCTTGAAAGAAACTGAACCATGAAAATTCAAATATTTAGTTGAAAGGGATAGTTCAAGGACAGCTTTTGAGCATAAATTTGAGATGGCAGTGAATCCATTGAGAAGCCTATGCTTTCAGAAACTATTACTGCTCTGCAATCTAACCTGTTAGAGAAACTGGGAAGCAAGCATGCTGCCCTTAAAATCAGCAGGATTTTAGACTGTTCCTAGAATCTGCCCTCAATGGAAAGAGCATCAGTTAAGTACTAGTTTGTTGGGGTTTTGTGGGTTTTTTCATTTTTTTCTTTGTAAAAAGGTTGGTTCCATACTAATGTCAAGAAGTGATCAAAACAAAGATCAATCAAAAAAAAAAAAAAAAGAAAAAAAAGAGTTCAGTTTGATCTGAAAATGCATTCTTTGGTGAATGGTGAAAAATACTTCCTCACCAAAATAAACATCCCTGCCCCACAAAAGTACAACCCATAAGACCAAGAGCATAATAAGGTATCTGTTACATCTACTGTTTATTTTGTTTTGAACAAAAGCTTATTCACCTCTTTTGTTCACCAAAAGTATCATTAAACTGAACACATCTTTTCACTCTCACTTTTTTTACTTCCAGTGGATCTTGTATATGTAAGCCATGTTCTTTCACTGAGTTACATTTGAAATATCCTACTTATTTATTCTTTTCCATTATGATGGGATTGGATTTATCATTACATTATGCATAAAAGCATTAAATAGCACATTCATGGCTTTTGATAGAAAAGCTGATCTTCCCTCACAGATAATTTGAAGATTTTTTTTTTCAAAAAGAAAAAAAAAAATTCAGTGATTTTAGTGAGAAATTAGGGGAAAAAAACACTGAAACCCAAAACATACTGATTTTGATATCTTGTATATCTTCTATCCTTTTGTTCAGTAGTTTGAATGCCTTCTTTCATTTTCTCATAAATTCTTGTGAAACAGGAAAGGTTGATAGTCACATCATCACAATGTATAGTGAAAAATAATGTTAAATTATATCCTAATAGTTTGGCCTAAAAAGAAAGACGTGGGCATGATCATAATCATATCTCTTTCAAGGTACTGCCCCTCACATAAGTTTAACTAGAATGATCTTGCAGATAGGTCTTTCAGTGGTCACTTGCACAGACAACACTAGAAAAGGACTTGCAGATTCTCTTTCAAAGGCTTTTGCTATCAAGCCATATTTCTGAGGTTAAAAACCAAAACTCTGGCCTAAGCAATAATTCTAGAAAGCATGACAGTTAAGAAACAGAGTTCATTTATTTTTATTTCTCTGAAAATATCGAGAAATCATTCTTTGTCAGGTAATGTCAGAAATGACGTTCCATATAAAATTAGTAATAAAACTTTCCCTGATTTGCATTGAACTTTTTTTCTCAAAAATAGAGAAATAGAGAGACTATAATAACTAACTGAGAAATTATAATAACTAACTGATTGCCAGCTGGCACATTTGCTTGGGATGTCATTGTCAATTCTATGTTCTGCTTGATTACAGGGAGAAAAGACATAACAAAACAATAAAAGTTACAGGAAGTTATGTAAAAGAATGAGGTAACATAATTTTGTAAAAAAATTACTATAGCACTTATTATCTTCAAATGTTAGGAACTATGCTGTGTGATAGGTAAAATACAAAATATGTAAAAAGGAAAACTGAATGTAATAAAACCAATAAATTTAAAAATGATCTCTCATCTCCCTCTTACTTATTTCTTCATTTTCTCTTTCCTCACTTAGGTGTTTTGAAGGGATTTGTAAACATGATGATGATGTGAAATTAGCATATAATATAAAACAGGAATATAGCTTTAGAATTATTCCTTTAATAGTCTAAAATTTGTCTATATATCAAATATATAGTATGTATGTGATGAAATGAATGTTAAACAATTGATAAGGAAACAATTCAGAACCTTAGATAACATTAAAATTAATTCAAAACATTTTCAAGAGGTGATTACATATTTGTCTCTCTACTTATACAATACATCAACCACTCCTATTACTGACAGTAGGAGTCATGTATGTTCACTGAGAAAAATACATAGAATGTTTTGAAAGAGTATTGCGAACTTTTTTTTTTCTTACAAGATAAGGAATTTGAATGATAGTTGAGAATGGAGGAGGAAAGTGGGATAAAATTTGAGATTAGGTAAAATAGAAAAAGGTGGAATAGATCACTGGCAGCATATAATTTGAAAAAAAAAACAGCAAGGAATGAAATGTAAGAATTTGCTAGAAACAAATAACCTTTTAGTTCTGATTATATTTTATTTTTTATTACAGTAATACCATACACTACCAATTTGGTATGTGTCAAAATTTAAAAAAAAATATTCTGAAGACTACTAGGGAAATACACCTGCATGTATCAAACTTCTGGGTTCTGGAAAAACATAAGGTAGTGTTGTGGTTTAACCTGGCAGGCACTTAAAACAACCACACTGCCCCACCCCTCTCCAGGGGGATGAAGGAAAGAATAAAAAAGAAAAAGAAAAAAAAAAAGAGAAAGCTTGTGGGTTGAGATAAAGACAGTTTAATATGACAGAAAAGGAAGATAATAACAAAAATAAGAATAAAAATAAGAATAATAGAATAGATGAAACAAGTGATGCACAGCACAACTGCTCACCAACCAAAGCCAATACCCAGCTAATTCTCAAGCCAAACTGCCTCCCAGTCCACCTTCCAGTTATATACTGAGCATGATGTCATATGGTATGGAATATCTCTTTGGCCAGTTTGGGTCAGCTGTCCTGGTTGTGTCCCCTCCCAGCTTCTTGGGCACCCACTGCCTTCTCATTGGCTTGCCAGCATGAAAAGCTGAAAAGTTCTCGACTACTTCACAACAACTAAAAACATCAGTGTGTCATCAACATTATTCTCATACTAAATCCAAAACACAGAGCTACAGCAGCTACTAGAAAGAAAATTAACTCTATCCCTACTGAAATCAGGACATGTAGAAAAGGCAACATTCTCTACTAGATTCCAATGAATATTTCTACAATAATATCTGAAACCTCTTCTGTGAGGTTTTATTGTTCTTTTTATGTTGCATTTAATTTTGCTTTATCCTTCACAAAAACCTCCAGTACCATGTCTATGCCTAATATTTGTAAATCTAATACAGTATTTACATGAGAAAACTATTTTAACTTACCTTCAGTCCAAATTTTGCCAGATTATCAGACATATATGCTCTCTTCCCAGCAGGCATTTAACTTCTTTGCATACTCAGTACACACTACATTGCACTACATCATTTAATACAGAATTCCATTTTACTTTTTACTTTTAGCTCAACAACAGCAATAAATTCTTAACATATACATTTTCCAAGTTCAGTAGTAGAGAAATGATACAATGGTAGGGTTTATATTTTACCTAAAATCTGAGCCTATCCGTTTTCCATTTTCTGGTTCTCCAGGATCTGGACACAAATTGGATGCCTGTTTAATACCTCCCTCATTTACTGCAAAAAAACAAACAAACAACAAAATAAAACAAAATAAACAAAAAAAGCTAAAATAATACAGTTTTTAAGAGATACATAGTTCAGCAATTAACAAATATTTAAAAGCACATTATCTGCATTTTAGGTCCTTTAAAACAGATTTTCTTCAGAGTATGATCACCCATATAATCTCTAGTCTCAATACATAAGTTTCTCCTCCCTATAACAAGCAAAGGATGTATTTTCTGGTTTGTTTGTTTTGTTTTGTTTTCAAAAAAATAACACAAGGTTTTTTATAAGTTGTAATAATCAGCTACTTTGTTTGCATGTAATATTATTGAACGCATATGGAAATGTTAGTACTATTCCTTTACAAACATTAACATTTAAAGGAGTGTTCATCAAGTTTAGGGCTCGAAGACTTTACTCTGAACATAATCTAATAAATGTCATCTCCACTAAGAGCTGACCTTTTCTCCTTGAATTATAATAAAACTTGAGCATAGGCTCATGCTGAGAGAATTGTCCTTAATCATTACTGAAAATGCAGATATCCCCAAAATATGGAGATCTGAAGGTAAACTCAAAATGCCAGTTTGATTTGCATACATTTATCTTACAATAAACTAAAATGGATCTTCAGAGAGAAACATCCTGTGAACCTTTCACTGTGTTTTTCCAGAAATTTGTATGTAGCGATCTGGCCCTCAGCCTATCCAACTACCTCTTCACTCATTTTTTTCAATGCATTATATACTTTCTCATAATTCTTACAGTTTGCAAAAGGATATCTTACAAAAATAATTTAAGGCCAAAATCATTCTAATAATTTTTGTATTTAATTTTTGGAGTTCATTGTACCAGGAGACAGCAGTTCCCCCAAAAAAATTATCGAAGGAGGTTGGTCTGCTAGTACTTGGCAACTTAATAGCCCCACAGAAGAGTCCTTTTTTCAAAAATACAATTTGACATGAAACCAAGAGAGTTATACTAAGCAGAAAGAGATTTTCGCCTTTATTCATCTTTATTTCTGAGGAACTAGACCAACAGATTTGCAGTATTAGATTTTAACTTTCCTTTAAAGAAAAAGTTTGCATATAAATACGCTAATCACATTACATTGTAAATTGAATGTACCCTAATTAAAAAAAAAAAAAAAAGTCGTTTCTAATTATATTTCTAAAGGATGTTCATTAAATTTCAGCTTTTAATGAAGGACAATAACATTCAGAATACTTGGGGCTTTCCCCTTCCTTGAAATTTGTCTTCTTACACACACAGAAAGGGAAGAATTGGTTTGGTACCACTGAGGAAGTCAAAGGCCAAATGAAAATGTTGCACAAGGTTAAAAGGAAAACATCTCAACTTAGCACATTGCTCAGAAAACCCAATCAAGCTCAGCCCATGTCAACTGGAACCACAGTATTTATCCTCCTCTGACCCAAAAGAACTGTACCATGTCCAAGGCTTTTCTAATAGCAAGCAAAGGCAATCTCTGTTCATCTGCATCTCTCTGCTCAGGGAACTTTTTGGCCAGGAGGGCTCTTCCTTAGAACCCATCCATATTACCAGTTTCAATCTTTTCCTCCCCCAATACTTGTAGGTGTGATGAAAGCATATTAGCTATAAAACCCCAAGTTCCTGCTAGTGTTGGAGTATGTATCTCTCTGACAATTACAATTCCATAAACTTCATTTCACAAAGCCATCCAGGAGGAACTTGTTGGATGAGTGTTTAGAACAAACTCTCTCTTTGAAATATCTAGGTGCTTTTCTATAGCTCCAAAGCCTATATCGAGACATAAGAAATTCAGAATCATCGTAAGTAGTCTGTATATACAGAAAAGACCTTAAAACTTTGGGTAGACGGTTAGGATTCAATGAGCAATGCAGGAAAGGAAAGGAAGTATACCTGAAAACAAGTAGGGAAAAAGATACCTTCTCAGTTTTGTGACAGTCTGTTAACTTTTCTGACATTAAACATATGTTAAAACTATAGTTAGAAAATTATACATGATGCCTGATACTTATATGAAAGAAATTAAACAAAATGGCACTATTTGGGGGCTATATCATGTGTCTATGCACACAGAAGAAATTCTTTGCTATTAAAAAAAAAAAAAATTAAACAGAACTATTTCTATTTATTGTAATTCCTGTTTTAATATTTCAAATAATTATTTTGGTTTTGTACACTATATTTCCCCATACACAGGTACTGGATTTCAAAGCACAAGAATTATCATATACTTGAATTTCTACCAAAAATGGACGTTTCAAAATCCTATTTTTTTTACTTATTTATATAAAGTTCCACTCTTAAAAATACTTATGAAATGGAATTTAAAATTAGAAATTATGGATTTATTAATATTCATAAATACAAATATAAAGGTTTATGTTAAAGAAAATCAATAAACTAATTACAGTGACAAAACTGAAATATGACATATACCACAGTAAAAATTCAGAAGAAAAAGTTATAAGTAGAAGTGATTAAACTGATTACTAATTTGATCTCAAATCAGAAATGCATTTAAGCAGAAACTTAAATCCGTTCTGATTTCTGTTAAGCATTTAGCAAAAAATGAATGTTCATTTTATTATTTTTGTATTGATGTTACTTCTCCAGACATAACGCTTGATTTTTCAGTCAACCGAAATACAGCTCCATGTAGTTCCCCACATATCTGTGTATCTATATTTGTTTGTTTTACACTGCAGATAACCATATGACAATAAGCAATGAAAGAGTTTCCTGTAGTAAATTAAAGGCTCCTCTAGGGAAAGCATTCATTCATGGTCTGGTCATGAAATTGGGAGCAAGAAATTCCAGAGTTCTAATCCAGATTGAATTAGGTCCCTCAATGATTTTTTTTGTTATTGTTGTTAATATTAATACTTGCAAAATTAAACTGATGTACATCCATTTCAAAGTGTGTCATCATATCAAATATTACCATTTTGGCTTTATTATGTGCAAATCACCTGTGCATTAGTGTTGAATGTTATATACCTGACACATTTTTTTTTTAAAAAAAAAAGTAAAATAGGGAAAAGACATACACATGAGAAATGTTATATGATAATTTCTAAAGACATTGCTAACACAGGGCATAATGTAAAATGGGCATTCACTTATCTTTATTGTATTTCCACTAATAGTTGAAAGATGCTCATTCTTTTTTTAAAGGACCCTAGCTGTCATTGTAATGGAAGTACAGATCCAGCTGAGGCCACATGGGGAATTTTATCTAAAGTCAACAGCTAAATACATAGGCTTTTCATGAAATACTGACTCTTCAATTTTCTTCAGCTACCAAAGTGGCTAGCTAACCAAATGCTAGATTACGATATAAAATCTTAGCTATCTATTTATGACAAGATATTAATCACGAAACGTACAAATCATCAAGGTTTTTACCTTCACTGGTTATTGACTCTTATAGGTAATCTACTCCACATAACCAATAAAAACATGATACAAAAGTTTTCAGCTTTACGTAGAACATCATAACATATGAAATTATATGAAGACTTTCAAAAATATATTGATAAATTTTATCACTAATTGAATAACAATCACCTTTAGATATCACAAGTGTCTGACACATCACTATAAATATGCAATTCCTATTAATGTTTATATGGTGGAATACTTAATCATTTGTGCAAAATAAATTTATAGAGAAACAATCAGTCTTATCAGCCATTGTACTATTCTCATTTGTAACTATAAAAGCACAGATGGATCATCGGAGACCTCAGTGATGAACTTATAAACACTACTGTAATTATCTTACTGTTATTTCTTACATAATCACTCTACTTTCTAGTCACCCGATATGCATAAAAAGAACACTTGTTTTTAAAAGACGTGATACAAAGTTTTCAAATAAACCAGAAATGCCTTATGGAACTATTTAGGTGATGCAGTTTACAGAAAAGTTGAATATGGTAATATGCTAAACTATAAAAACTGAGCAGAAGTGTGTTTTGCTTTATTTTTCTGACTTGGTAAACATTGAAGGGTCTTGCTGCTTGAAGATACCTTTTCATAAAAAAATAATGTCTAATATGTTGATAGTTTCAAATATAAAACTGAAAAATGTATTAGAAGTTATGCCAATGTGCCCTGCTAAATTCTGGAAACCGAATCCATCACTGACACTTTAAACAAAAAAAAATAGTGCAAATATTTCCAACCTAAGGACCTTCAAAAGCAAGTCCTTTTGCTCCTGTGAAGAATCATGAAATGTAGTATAAGCAGACATAGGCTAAGCATTTAGTCCATCTTTATTTTAACCACTTACTGCGAAATATTTAAAATGCGGTTCTAGTCCAAAAAGGAACTATAAAAATGGCATGTTCTTTTGCAAAAGATATCTTCTTTAATGTATTTAGAGTCATATCTGTTCAATTTATGTTACAAAGTTGCCCAACTCCTCCTTATAAGTTAATCAGGACTCAGTCCTGTAAGATGCTGAGCACTTTGTTTCTATTTTCTGTAATTAAAATTGAAGGCACTAAGCATCTCCAGAATGTTTAAAACTACAATTAGTTAATCAGTTCAAAATGTCAAAGTTAATGAAGAAAAAAAATTTCAGAAAGTGACCTCATGTGTGTTGCTTAAAAAAAAAATGTGGTTGCACATTTGTAAATGAGGATAGGCTTTGGTTTGTATAGCCTTTTGCTGCTAGTGCTAATTTTCAATTAGAATAATGTATCTCCTGTTCACAACTAAGATTTCAGCTGACATCTGGAAGGCTGAATATTTATTTCTTTGCAAATACTGCAAATTTAATGTGAAATTACTGACAAAAAACACACGTCTTTCTACAATGCCAGATTTACAGAAAGCCTGCCTTTAGACTAGAACCATATTTAAAAATTCACCATGCAGACTGGATAAACAGATTTAAGTCAGTTATATTATCAGAAATAGGTAAACAATTTTGAAAACACACAAACACAGACAACACAAACTTCACTCTTGCACTAGAAAAAAGTAACAAAAAAGGAGTACACTCACAGATAGAAAACTTGTTGCTGTTGTCTTTCCCTGGAAACAATTTAAATCCTCTAGATTTAAAATCTATGGCCTTTTTCACTAGTTAAAAAAAAACAAACAAAAACATGTATCAGGCAATACAGTCTAAAATATTTCATTTCATTTGACAAATGTTATCATGGAAGTATATACAAATTAGAGTACTGGCTACCTAACAAGCTCATATTGTGTACCTTTGGTGGAAAACAATTTATAAAAACAAGTATTGAGACCAATTTGTACACCTGACGAAGGAAAGAAGTAAGATTTGTAACTTAATTTTTCTCCCATGTAACCAAGAAAAAAAAATTATGGCCAAAAATGCTTATTTCCACGGACCATATAGTTGTGTAAAACATTGTCACACATTTATGGAACCTGGAAAATGAAAAGAATGATAGATATGTTTGCTCTAAAACACAGTTGATTCTCATGTGGTGTTTCTTCTGTGCTAAGAAACAGCAGTTCTTATCCCCCGCTCCCTCCATTTAAAAAAAAAAAAAAAAAAGCGGAAGGAACTAGAGAATACTATCACATCTGCCAATTGAAAAGTCAGTAACCTTTTAAAAAAAGGTACTTTGACATTTTTTAAACAGCTTATTTTTGGTGAAATTTTAATTCAATTATTCTTTCTAGTGATAGAGAATTTAAAAGGAAAAAAGAATCATCCGCAACATGTTATTGAAAGCACACTGAAATCAAATAAATATGCTCAGATCTCAATTCCATTAGCATCCAAGCAATACAGGACATATATTAATGCACATATATTCTGAAAAGGTTTAATTAGCAGTAGAAATGCCAACATCTTTTTTGTCAACATATTTTGCCTGTTTCTTCAGATTTTGAAATTTATTTTAAAAGTCAGTATTACATTTGGAAAAAAGACAAAACAGAGGCAACAGCTAAAAAATTACAATGTTTTAGTAGACAAAAAGTCTTTCTAAAAGTAAAACACTGGAATACAGTCTAAAGATCTACAGGCATCCAGATTACCTCCCCATTCTGAAATTATCTCCAGTAGTTTTCAAAATCTCCCTTAGCTATGATCCTAGCTTTAGTAAGGAAGTATAATTTTTATTCAGAAAACATTGAGATTTTATTGTCTGTGCTTCGACCACACAGACAAAACAGAAATATTTTGATCATAGAAAAAACACTGCATTATTAAGTTAAGCATAGCAGGCTAATTTTCTGTTTTAACTACAGAGATTTGCATACCAAAAAAAAAAAAAAAAATAGAAAATGCAGTGTACTGTTCTGCTGTTGATTCTGCAGCTGATCCTCTTTCTAGCTTGAAAATTATTTGCAAAGTGTGAAAGGAAGGTAGTAGGTTCCCACCTCACCCCTAAACCCACAGCTGAACTATTTCTGTAAAAGTCCTTATTTTAGGCTGGGCTTATGATAAAGGCAGTTAATTCAGGCAAACCATGTGGCCTCAACATATTTTTGAAACAAAACAACTAGTAACAAGAGAGTAAACCCAAAATTTAACAGATATCAAAAGGTAAGAGAGAATGAAGCAAAAACAGCACAAGAAACTTTTTCTTTCAGTCATTAAAATAAGTGCCTCTTTTCTCCCATACACTCTGCCAGTGAGCAATGAACAATACATAAAAATGGACCTTCTAAAAAAAAATTACTTTTAAGTATAGGTTAATTTTAGGTACATTATACTCAAGTGACTTTAGAGCTTAGATATACTAAAAAAAAAATATATGGAAGAAGATGTTTTATGTCGGCTACAAGCAAATACTGCTGATGAAGACAGCAAAGATAAAAGGAACTACGTCTAAGAGAAGCTAACATGAGAAGACAGACAGTATATCATCAAAGAAATTTTCAGCACCCGTTAACTTATTATACAAAATCAATGAATAGTCAAAGAAACCCTTACATGAGGCATAAATAACAAAGCAGCAAAATACTATTGATGTTTTTTTTATAAATAAAAGTAATCATTACTACACACAAGAGCAAAACAAGATTCAGGAGAAAATAACGTACTACAAAGACAATTTATAGGATAGGTATAGGACATTATGACAAATATTTTTACACTTCTGATGGAAGAGACTATACTTCCTTCTAAATACATGGAGGCTTTTATCTCAAGAGGCAAAACATAAATTTCCTGGTGTATCATCATAATATAACCTATAAACATTGCTAATGTTTCTGGGAAATACATTATTTGCAGGAGCACAATCTATCTGTTGCCGTGAAATATTTTTACTTATTTACTTATTTATTTATTAACCTCTAATACCAGAAGCTGTCCCTCCCTCCAAAATAAATTGATGTCCATAAGCAATTCTATCCTCAGTGGAACTCATGGACTCAAAAACTGTACCTTCACACAGTAGAGCCATACTGGAATAACCGTAATGTCTCTCATCATTGTGTGATATTTCTAAGATGCTATTTCTACATAAATATGAATGTAGGAGTATAGCTGTAAGCTTCTTCTGGCCTTCTCTGAGCATCAGTGTAGAATAACTCCTTATGAAAGAGAAGACAGGCCTAGCTATTCTTCCAAAACCTAAGTAAAATGGGAGTGGGCTTGAATACATGATCTCAGGGGCTGGGACGGGTTTAAATACTCACATTAGTGTGATGTTTGTCCTTTATTTTCAGAAATCATCATAGCAACATATTAAAGAAGGAAGACTGGTTTGAGGTTTTTTGTTTCTTTGTACTCATCCTCAGACACCTGAATGGCATATCCATAGTTTATGTACCCAAGAAACAGAGTTCACAAGATCTAAGGTGGAGCTGAAAATGGTTACAAGAGTTTCTTGGTGAACACATTGAAAAAAATCTGATATTTTTATACCTGTTTGCATCACTTTGCCAAGGCTATTAAATACCACTAGGGAAGAGAGCAACTCAAGGTCTCTGAAGCAACTTTACACTACAAGAGAAGAATTTTACTTTTAACTGGGTTTTGTGTGTTGATTTATTGAAGTAGTTTCTGAATACACTGTGAAGGAGTAATTATAGAAATATGTTTGGTCCAAACATGCCATTCCGTACACAAAACACAATAAATATATTCTTTAATACTTGCTAAACTAGGCAGTATTTTGCACATGCCAATGTGGAAACCAGTGAAGAAAATGGTAACTATTCAAAAACAGTTTTAGCAGACACATGTCAGTAAGTACTGAAAGTGGATTTCACTTTTCAGAAGTCTCAGAAGACAGATTCATGCCAGCAAACAGTGCAGTTGTACACATCTAAGCTAGTCCACAAAAAGAAATAGACACTTTAAGGGCTCGATTCATCAGGCCTTAGATACCTGCTTTCTCATGAGATGAGTTTAAACTTTGATATGCCCATTTCTCTCAAGACAAATAGTTCAGATGTGATAATGCTACAAACAGCTAAATGTGGTTAGACTAGTATGTTCTCATATTTCTGAACAGCCAACAGCCACGAAAATAGACTAGTCAAAAAAAGAATGATACCCCTGAAGTCATACTGGTGTAGATGGAAGCTAGTGATAAGATTCTCCAATGCTCTGGAGATTAATATTGCATAACTTAAAATAGATGCGAACCCAAAGCCTCCTTTATGCCCTGTCCTTCAATCCATTTCAGACTAAATCAAAAATAAATCTGAAAAGTTAGATCAAGGAAATCAAACTGTTCAGAGACCAAACTTCATCAATTATATCTGCAGCAGAGTAAATCTTTGCTATCACTTTCATATCTTTAATTGTGTAATTGGAAAGGCCATAAAAATCTATTTTAAAGATAATAAAAATTTATAAAAACCTATCTGATGTAACCACCTATCCAGTGCCATAATGCATGGAGAGGTTTAAAATTTTCTTTAATACTACTTTAAATACATATGGCTTGTAGGATGGTTTGTTTGTTTGTTTTAAATTTATATGTCTAAAAGTCAGCAAGTTTGTTTGTTTGGAATTTTTTTTTTTTTTTTTTTTTTGAGGGGAGGGGATAGGAATGCTACTGCACATCTCCTATGCAAATAAATCTCTGACAATCCTGAATGTATTTTTGATCATGTGACCTGATGAAACATAAACAGTAGCATCAGAACTGTGTGACACCTCATCAGAGATTAGGTAAAAAACCCTGAAAACCTGAAAACTATTTAGGCATCCACCTAGGAGCTTATGTTCAACACTGCTCATGCTTATTCTCCTGTTCAAATGGCTTTAATACAAAACAGAAGATTACAATCTATGTAACTTTTCCCAAAGTTAGAAGACCCAATGTCTTCTGCAAATACGAAAGATGGAACTGAACATTTTATTGAGGAGGGAAAGATATGAACAGTCCCGGTAATGGAAGAAGTCTAGGTAAGAAGCTTTGCATGACAGATGGGTAGGCTAATATTCAGCCAATAGACAGACCAGACTCATGTACATTTTTCAAGTAGTAAATTTATGTGTAAATTGAATTATGTTCAGAATAATTTTGTAGAAGTTTTTGACCAAAGTGGTCTGTCATGTAAGATAAGGAAGATTCAAACACTTACAGACAAAGTTTTAGACACATAGAAAAAATTACATTATTAATTATTTTTTATAAAAAGGTTGTGAAATTCTGCATATGCATATGCATACAAGCTACATACAAACACTTGTGATACAGGACTAATCTAGAAAATGACTGCAGTCTACTCTTCAGGCTAGGTACTGCACTAAAAAAGGACCTCAGGTAAAAAGGAATATAGGTGTATATGTTTTAAGCATGTATATTATAAAAGAAACACGTAGATGTATAATTTCCCTGGCAACCTTGAATACAACAAGCTCTTAGACACTAGACATGAAATTAATTTTGAATGAAGAAAAGATTTTTCAGTTGACACAATTCTGGCTTCATTGAAAAGGTATATCCTGAGACCTAAATGAGACATAAATTTCAAGATGGAAACTTTGTTTCTACAATATGGAAGCATCAGAGTATATAGCCATAAAACACTGACAACCCACAAATTCATGTCTTTATTTTAGTTATACACCAGCATCATGTAAAGAAATTGTCCAGCTTGTCTTGTCTCCATTTTGTAAACTTTTAAACCAA